ATGGCTGCTCTTCATGGCTGCCCTTCCTGGCTGCTCTTCATGGCTGCCCTTCCTGGCTGCTCTTCATGGCTGCTCTTCATGGCTGCTCTTCATGGCTGTTCTTCACGGCTGCTCTTCACGGCTGCCCTTCCTGGCTGCTCTCCATGGCTGCTCTTAACGGCTGCCCTTCATGGCCGCTCTTCCTGGCCGCTCACCATAGCCGCTCTTCATGGCTGCTCTTCACGGCTGCTCTCCACGGCTACTCTTTATGGCTGCTCTTCACGGCAGCTCTCCATGGCTGCCCTTCCTGGCTGCTCTCCATGGCTGCTCTTCATGGCTGCCCTTCCTGGCTGCTCTTCATGGCTGCTCTTCATGGCTGCCCTTCCTGGCTGTTCTTCACGGGTGCTCTTCATGGCTGCCCTTCCTGGCTGCTCTCCATGGCTGCTCTTCATGGCTGCCCTTCCTGGCCGCTCTTCATGGCTGCCCTTCATGGCTGCTCTTCCTAAATGATGTTCTTTATGTGTTTCGGCTGCCTTCACAGTCTACCAATCCTTTTCAGAAAAATGAGTCAAATATCCTCAGAGACTCCTCTCCCCCTCAGGATAGTGGAACATTCTGTGAGGTTTTTCAACTGACAAGGCTGTACCACTGCTATACGACTTCTGAAATGAGGGGAAATGGGGAGAGGTTCCTTACTGTTGTTGCCTGCTTGCAGCAAGGTGCACACTTCTGCTTCTCTCCGGAGAAGCCAATCTGGGCCCAGCGACCTGGAGGTGAACGTGGGCAACAAGATTTAAGGGTTTGGTTTTGAAAACGAAGAATGTGAATCCAAGCAGGAGGAGGCGAATCATTAACCGAATTCCGACCTGATCTTGGCATGATTATCTCGTGCCCCCTATGAAGCTTAATATGTGCAAACATTCCAAAGTGCTGGTGTGACCCCCACCTCCCCAGAGGCTCCATCCCTAAGGTGAGGCTGGGCCAGTGGCTACTGGGTGGGCTGTTGATTAACTTGAATGCCGGCCATGCAGCTACATTGGAGCAGAAGCGGGATTTGGGTGTGAGGAAGACCCCGGGCGGTCCTGCTGGATGGGAAGCGAGAGTCTTCCTCCTGGTTCCAGGAGCAGCGCTCTGGATGGACAGCAGCTGGACTTGAGGACCTGAGGCGTCACAGACCCCCGACTGGGGCTGTAACTCTTGAGGGTCTGCCAATTGTACCCTAGCTGTAGGTAAATGTACCTTTTATGGTACAGAAATGGACATTTTTGTACCATTGGGGGTACGTTATTGTTGTTCATAACTTTGGGGGGGGTGCATACCTGGGCTGTACCCTCTTTTCTGACAGTCTGCCAATAGGAGGGCAGACCATCACTGCACCCCCTGCTATGTAGGTCATTCCCAGCCAAACGGACACTCTCAGCCAGACACCACGCCCCTGTTTCGCTACATAGCGCCCCCTGCTGCATAGACTCTGGTAAACAGTTTATTTGGTACTCTGTTTTATTGCTCTGTACTTGCTGAGGTCTTATTTATCTCAGCTGAAACAGCTGACTGATGGCATTGGAGGACCTGCAGGGGGCGCTGTGCATGTGTGGCATATTCCAGGGAAACAGATCAGCGATGATATGACCATGTGTGCCTGTGGAGGGGAGGAGGACCCTGGGGGGTGGGCAAAATGGGTGACCCCCCCCCCAATGGCTGTAAGGATGTGTGTGTTAGGGGGAGAGAGGGATGAAAGAACACGCTCGTTCGTGTACAAGTATGTGCAGCGGCGAGTGAGTGCGCGCTCACCCCCATTAACACGAGGACATGTGCGTGACCCAGATGGAGATGCAACCAGTGGTTCCTCTGCTTTTTAACTGTTGTTCTCCCTGTGAACCTGGAGCACCTGAGCCTGTTAGTGCGGGGTTACAGTGAGCCTGTGCAACGTCAGGGTAACCGATCTGGGGGGGGGG